TGTTTTTTATACCTTACCCGCTACTATTGAACAAATTTATAAAAATCGCCCAGAAGAAATTAAAACTTTATTAAAATTAAGATCTATCAATTTTGCTGGAGCTGCATTGTCACCTCAAATAGGTGAACGACTTGTTAAATCCGGCGCCAATATTCAATCTGTTTATGGTTCGACTGAAACAGGTGTCATTATGGATACACGTATAGTTAATAAATCTTTTTTACCTAATATTCCATGGAACGCAATGAAATTGGCAATACCAGAAAGTTATGTAAAATGGATAGAAAAGAATGATTTTATCGATGGCGCGAAAGAATTAATTATAAAAAAAGAAGCACCAATCCTTTCAAATATTAAAGGAAATACTGAAGATGGTGATTATAAAGTAGGGGATCTCCTTCTTGAAACTCCAAAAGGTTCCGGTTTTTATATTTTACTTGGTCGAGTTGATGATACAATTGTTCATAGTACTGGGGAAAAGACAAATCCAATTCCGATCGAAGAAACAATACGTCTTAATCAATTTGTTAAACAAGTAGTAGTCGTTGGATTTAATAGACCATTCAATTGTCTTTTGATAGAACTCGATTATGAAAATATCAAAATGACTCCTTTCTTAGATGTTACCAAAAATATCTTTGATTCAATACATCAAGCTAATAATGATTGTCCATCACATTCACGAATCTTTGATGAAATGGTTTATATCTTACCTCTTGAAGGAAAAATTATACCCCGAACCCTTAAAAATAATGTTCAACGTAAAAAAGTTGAAACAGAATTTAAAGAAGAAATTGAAATGCTTTACGATAATTTTGTAAATGCAAAACTCGTCTCAAATAATAAATCTTCTTCAAATAATGGATGGAATGAAGATTCTATAAAATCCATTATATTAGATTCCCTTAAATTAGCCATTGGAGATTCATTTTCACTAACTGAAGATGGTGAAACCTCATTCTTTGCTATTGGTCTAGATTCTTTATCTGCAACTAAATTACGAGCTATTCTTCAAAAACAATTTCCAGTTATCAACCTTCCTCA